AACATTGGGTTCTTTCAGCGTTGTAACGGTTCTACCCACACATGGATGACCTGGAGCCAAGCAAAATGAGGGGTCTTACAGTAAAATGGAAGCTCAAATGATATCCAGTAAGAAGCACACACACAGTTCTAACCAGAAGCAAAACATTTTTATGTGTCAATGAGAAGTTCATTGACATGGCAGAGATGTTGACAAGGAGAATATACAAAGCTGGAGATTGATATAAACAGCTTCTCAAGAACTAACCACAAGTTTTAGGAGTGCTGTACCTGCATGGAATTTTCTCTCACAATTGTTATTTTAGTATTATTTATATACTGCTATAGTTATAGTTTTTATTTTTATATTTTCAGTTTAATTTTAGTTTAAGCAATTCTGTGATGTACTTTTGTCATTTTTATTACTATTTTTTTTAATTTCTACTAAATTTTTCATCTAATAATTATATTTTATCTCAGCTTTATTTCAATTACCAAAAACAATTTTTTGTAGTTTTAGATTTAACAGTAACACTACTGACAATGATGTCTAAAGTTACTTTCATAGCCATTGAGGGATAGTTTACATTATAATGTTTATTTTATCCTGTAGTTATGCAAAGATTTGGTTTAAAAAACAGTATCAGTAAACTATTTCTTATGATTTTAAATCTGCATTGAACTTCAGATCAATCTAAAGTAAAAGGCGGTACTAAAGTCTGATTTTGTGGTGGATGTGTTCAAATGTGATCATCTTAATTCAAGTGATGAAGGATTTTGAAAGTCTGACAGTGTTGAGCACTACTGTAAGGTTAACCCTGCATGGTGTAAATGATTGAAAATGATTAACAGTTGCAAATAAACATTCATTAGAAATTTAGAAAAGTAATCAAAAAGTAATCAAAAGTAATCAGTTACATTACTTTAATAAAGTAATTGAAAAAGTTACACTACTATTACATTTTAAATAGGGTAACTTGTAATCTGTAACCTATTACATTTCCAAAGTAACCTTCCCAACACTGGTCATACACACAGATATCCCAGCAGAACTGGCTGTGTTCCATGCATGTGTAAATGCACAATAATGCCGTTTATTAGCTCTTGGAGACAAAACACTGTTAAATTATTTATTTGTTCCACTATTTGCGAGTAAATGGCTTCATTAAAATACACTAGAGCAGACAGAGGAATAACACACTGTGGGACGGCAGTGGGCCAAAGCTACTGCTCACAACCACATGCGTCATTATAAAACACACTGTGCATATAAACCAGCCCTGCCTCGTTTTTCTTCATCACAGACACTCAGAGATGACTGATGTATTAGCTAATAAACAGCGGTTCTCTTAACAGGTAGTAAACAGAAGAGCAGATTAGAGCATTTCCTAACAATCCAGCCTCTTACAGCGGCCGAGTGCGTAAAGAGCTCTGATGATTGCAGGGTATACAACCAGCCATTACAATCCCTGACTGTATCAGAATATTCTCTGCTGAACAGATCTGCTTACATTAGTGCACATTTTCAGGCTAGTTTATGCTGGTTAGTGCTCAATTCAGATTGACCTAAAATGTAACCCTAAAAAAAACAATAATGATTTTATTTATGCATTATGGTTACATTGTAGATCAATCTGAATTTTGTATTTTTGTAAAATATTATATATATATATTTTGTATAATCACAGATGAACTGTATAATTCACTGTTGTCATGCAGATGTTTCATGTCTCTCATATCACTCTGTGCTCTTTTTCTGCATACATAATAACATAATTTAAACTCAAATTAATATTTAATGTCCATTTATGTATTTTTTTGGTGCAATGCATTAAGCAGGATGTACGATCAGTCAGCCATTATCACAAAGTTAAACAAAAAAAAAGCCCAGAAGAACTTGCAGAAAAAAAGTCCAACTGTATTTTTTAAGGGTTTCTATGCAGGAATTTAATACAAGCACTCATTGTCATTTTTATTTATTTGTGAACATGCACTCTGTTTGGATGTTCAAAGATGATGCATGTTGAAAAATCTAAAATTGAAAGGCAAGGCAAAGAGAGATGGTGGATTGGCTCTTAATTCTCAGAGTGCTTTGAGAGGGGTGCCAAGACAGAAAGATATATGGTAGCAGTGTTTATTCCACTGGCTCTCCAGTAAATAAACACACCTGCTAAATGGAAATATGGATGCTTTCATACAAGTGTGTTTACACTCTCGTTGGAGGTTTCGCTCAAGGCCAGGCGGCGTGGACTTGTTCTGCTGGGCTGATGGGGAACATTGGGTTCTTTCAGCGTTGTAACGGTTCTACCCACACATGGATGACCTGGAGCCAAGCAAAATGAGGGGTCTTACAGTAAAATGGAAGCTCAAATGATATCCAGTAAGAAGCACACACACAGTTCTAACCAGAAGCAAAACATTTTTATGTGTCAATGAGAAGTTCATTGACATGGCAGAGATGTTGACAAGGAGAATATACAAAGCTGGAGATTGATATAAACAGCTTCTCAAGAACTAACCACAAGTTTTAGGAGTGCTGTACCTGCATGGAATTTTCTCTCACAATTGTTATTTTAGTATTATTTATATACTGCTATAGTTATAGTTTTTATTTTTATATTTTCAGTTTAATTTTAGTTTAAGCAATTCTGTGATGTACTTTTGTCATTTTTATTACTATTTTTTTTAATTTCTACTAAATTTTTCATCTAATAATTATATTTTATCTCAGCTTTATTTCAATTACCAAAAACAATTTTTTGTAGTTTTAGATTTAACAGTAACACTACTGACAATGATGTCTAAAGTTACTTTCATAGCCATTGAGGGATAGTTTACATTATAATGTTTATTTTATTTTCACCTTCACTGTGACTTTCAGTAGAAAATTAAAGGGGTCATATGATGCTGCTAAAACGAACATTATTTTGTGTATTTGGTGTAATGAAATGTGTTTATGCGGTTTAAGGTTCAAAAAAGACATTATTTTCCACATACTGTACATTATTGTTTCTCTTCTATGCCCCGCCTTTCTGAAACGTGTCGATTTTTACAAAGCTCATCGGTCTGAAAAAGCAAGGTGTGCTGTGATTGGCCAGCTATCCAGTAACGCTTGTAACACTCCATGATTGGCCGAATACCTCAAGCGTGTGACGGAAATGTTACGCCCCTACCATACTGTTATGATGCCCTGTCAGGCCGGAGCGATGATTCAAAAACATGAAAACCCATTATAAACGAGGCATTCGTTGCATCCAGTGG